TGCAACTCTTCTGGACGACCTTGTATAAGTTGGTGAATCCTGTTATAATGTTACAAAGAGTTTGTTGGTCTCTCCTTCAACTGCACCTCACATTTTGTATGGCAGCCATGACTGTATTCGTCTGCTTGTGTGGCATGGTGCAGAGTTTTATTGCTAGACATAGGGTCTTCCAGCAGCCACCCTCTTGACCCAGGACAGCACTACCGCTTGAAGATACTTGATGTAGGCTTTAGTCCGTTCATATAGGAAGATGAATGGAGGCATAACATCGCCATCACTAGTGATCACTCGGAACACCATGATGTTCAATGGATATATCATCTAACTCTTTCCGAATCTTCTGCACTGTCTTCAGCTTGACACCCAAACACACTGAAATCATCGTATTTGAGCTACCGGTGCGAATACTAAGCAGTACAGCATGCCGTTTCCAAATTTCTGACGGAGTGAAATGCGTCATGTTGCTGTTTTTCTCACAAACGGTGCCCAGTTGAACCTACTATACTGAGCAGTCGACAAACTACAAAACAAATAACGCGCATGCGCGAAATGAAAAATATAAAATGGTGACAATTTACCTATCGCACCGTGTGTGTGTGTGTGTGTGTGTGTGTAATATATTATCTTAGAGTAAGCAGCATTAGGATTATAGTAATGTTAGACAACAACAAACAATACCAAATGACAGTAATGTTCCTTGAAGCAATACTCACACAATAAAAACAGCCATCTATAAATAAGAACAATTATAATTTAAGAACCTGTATCCTCAAATTCCTATAATGCACATCCTCGCACTTTGTATCCGTCACTACATTCATTAGTTCTACGGAATATATATATATATATATATATATATATCTATATCTCCAGTATTTACATTATTCAGGCTATTGTCCTCATCTTTTTCGCCATATTTATTACAACGTTTCGGCCGTTATAAGCTCCAGCCTTTTTCAGGTGGTTGGAATGTCGAACTGAACCCTTTATTTTGCTCACTGGGGTAGACTGTTCTAGATCCACGTGCCATGTCTAATGGATAGATGTTATCAGTTATCTCCTGTTAATTCCAAGTTCTCCACCGACTTAACCAGGTATTGAACTCACACTCTTTGGGTCCTGTCACTGGATCTAACAAACGCCTTTATCCACTGTGCCATGTGTCCTCAAGTGGGTGGAATGTCGAACTGAACCCTTTATTTCACTCACTGGGGTAGACTGATCTAGTTCCACGTGCTATGTCTAATGGATCTCTTGAGGACACATGGCACAGTGGATAAAAACGTTAGTTAGATCCAGTGACAGGATCTAAAGAGTGTGAGTTCAATACCTGGTTAAGTCGGTGGAGAACTTGGAATTAACAGGAGATAACTGATAACAGACATCCATTAGACATGACACGTGAAACTATAACAGTCTACCCCAGTGAACGAAATAAAAGGTTCAGTTTGACATTCAAACCACCTGAAGAAGGCCGTAGCGTACAACGGCCAAAACGTTGTAATAAAGATGAGGACAATGACAATAGTCCAAATAATGTAAATAGCGTACATAATGCCTCATCTCAGAAATATAGACATATATATATATATATATATATATACCTAAACATTTAGTTTTATTAAGTACGAATAAAATATTTTTTAACACTTTGCGCACTTATCGACCATATTTGTTTTGTCCACAGTTTTCTGTCAGATTTCTGAAAACCTTATAATTGCATTCTTCCTGAATTTTACATATACTAGGGTTTATCCGAAAGTAATGTCTCCTATGTCAGTGGAACGGCGCTAGAAGATAATAACATTACGCCAGTAAACCATAATTGTTTTTAGCCATCTTATTTTTTTTTTAAAGTAGCAGCTGAGCAGCAGTCTGAGCAAAATGTTATGACAAGAAACGGAGACGTGTCACTGGAAAATAAAAGTATTGCCGATTTATCGTTATCGACGCTTGCTGAACGTTTACAGAGACCAAACACTGCGTTTGAGCAGAGTTAGGCGCTAAACGCAATATGCAGGCTCTGGCTAATCACCGATGAAAATACATCGCCAATGTGACTGAAAACTTGACCTGCTCAACGCTTCATGTATATATTGTAGTTTTTTCTTTAATTATCGCACCGTGTGCAAGGTAGCAAAGCCACTAAGACACAAAAGATTACCGAATGTGAAAGAATAAGTAAAAAGAGAAACATTAATAAGGAGTGAGAAAAATAAAAGAGACGCAATCTAGATGATAGAAGATAACGATTGATATTGATCTTCAAAAATTTAAATATAAGGTTGGCTGGAAAGCATGGAGACGAAAGAGAGTTCCACAACTGAGAAATGCGAGAAAAGAAATTTAGCATGGATTTTACAGTTATGTCTACCCAATTCAACTGCGAATTGATGAGACCTTGCCGCCAGTCAAGTACTACACGTAAATTCTAAAAGTTTAGGTAATATAGCGAAGAGTTCATCCGGACAATTACCATGAAAGTATTTATAGAAAAGGCACAGGGAAGTTACATTACGGCGGTGGGAAAGTGACTAAAGCCGAGATGCCAGGTCAGGACCAATAATTTTGCTGATTTCTTGAATTTTGTCAAGAATCTTTAAATAGACATCAGGAGCACCAGGCCATATATGGCAGCAATATCCAAAGTATGGAAGAATGGTAGATTTATAAATGTGTAAGATAGATTCTGGCAATAAAAATTGTCTCGCACGATACAGTGAATAAACTTTCTTAGCAGCAAATCGAGCAGTTGATTCAATATAATCTTTCGACTTCATGTCAGTCGAGAATGTTAGCCTCAAAAGGCGCAATGAGTCACTTTCTTTGGTTTTAGAATGAGCCATGCTGATGTGAGACAAAAATGGGGGCGGTGGAAAGAATTATTTTATATTGTTTCGTTGTCCTTTCTGGTTATATACTCGATCGTTTCACATGGATTTGATCTCCTCTTTCGACATTAACACAGGCAATAGAAATACGTAGCAGATAACACGGAGAAGGATTAGGGAATCGACTGCATAAAAATCTATATATTAATACACTAGGACCTGTTTGGTGACTGTTACGTTTGGTATCGCAAAGACATAAAGAGAGAGAGAAAGAGATGAGCACAGGAGAAGAAAGGGCGATAAAAGAGATAGAGAGATCAAAGAGAAAAAAGAGAAGAGAGAGAAAAAAGAGAAGAGAGAGAAAAAAGAGAAGAGAGAGAAAAAAGAGAAGAGAGAGAAAAAAGAGAAGAGAGAGAAAAAAGAGAAAAAAGAGAAGAGAGAGAAAAAAGAGAAGAGAGAGAAAAAAGAGAAGAGAGAGAAGAGAGAGAAAAAGAGGTTAGAGATATAGAGAGATGAAAGAGAGAAAGATGAAAGAGAGAAAGATGAAAGAGAGAGAGATGAAAGAGAGAGATATGAAAGAGAGAGATATGAAAGAGAGAGATATGAAAGAGAGAGATATGAAAGAGAGAGAAAGAGAGATAAGAAAGAAAGAGAGATAAGAAAGAAAGAGAGAGAAGAAAGAAAGAGAGAGAAGAAAGAGGAGAAGAAAGAGAAGAAATAAAGGGGAAAATAGAGAGATAGGCATAGAAAGAAAAAGAGGGAGAGGGAGAGATGGTCATACAGGGGAAAACAGTAAGAGAGAGAGAGAGAGGCGTAGAGCAGTGTTTTTCAACCTTTTTCAATTCAGGGCGCACTTTAAATTTTAATAAGGAAAAATAAGTTGTGAAATTTGAAAATAGGAAAATAATAAAGAAGTCTTCTGAAATAATCATCTATATTTAATAATATTAAATTGCTTGTTCTCTCAAGCTTTTTTTAAAAATAAAGATTCATAAATTATTTGTTAACTTATGGCGTAACTGGTGACCTTTCAGGGTGCGTTGAGTGCACCGTTTGAGAAACGATGGGTATCGCAGATACATAGAGGGGAAAACAGAAAGAGAGAGATGGGTATACAGAGAAAACCAGAAAGAGAGAAAGAGGTTCGTAGAGAGAGTGCGACAGAGAGAGAGAGAGAGAGAGAGAGAGAGAGAGAGAGAGAGCGAGAGAGAGAGAGAGTGCGAGAGAGAGAGAGTGCGAGAGAGAGAGAGTGCGAGAGAGAGAGAGAGTGTGCGACAGAGAGAGAGAGAGAGTGCGACAGAGAGAGAGAGAGAGAGAGAGCGACAGAGAGAGAGTGCGACAGAGAGAGAGTGCGACAGAGAGAGAGAGAGAGAGATTGGAGGGCGTGTCATCTTAGATAAATGGAGTTGTTTGAGGAGTTAAATCTCGTTTTGTGACCTAACGATCTGTTGGGGACAAATTCATCCCTGAACTGCAAGTGACCTTTTGAAATTAAAATCTTAGTTTACTTTTTTTTTTTTTTTAATCTTATCTTCGTGAATTTGTTACAGACTAATAGAAATAACACTGTAAATGACATATTGGAGGATCGATTTACAATTAATTTCTATTGCAAATAGAGAACAACTTTGAAAACCTATAAATGAACTTATAATTTGTATTTTCCCATTGTGCATTCAATAAGGCTATTACGTATGCAAGGAAAAGAAAAGCCAGCAAGAAAAATAGATTCAACAAAGATGACATCCAAGACACGAGACACGGTCTTGCATACATTAGAAATATTGCTTATAACGAAGTACAGTAATACCAATTAGTTGGCACTAAGCCAAGCTTAGTTCTGCGTTTCCAGAGTCATCCATAAACTCGGCCCATGCGCCCCGCCCAAGACTATCTCTGTATCCCACTAGCAGATATGGTTGATCGATTCGTTAACTACGGTTTAAAATCCAGAAAAGTCTGTTTTTTTTTAGATTGTAAGAATTTTCTTTTTTAAAAATAATAATTTAGCGACACAATTCTTACTAATTAACCCATAGCTGGGGTAGAAGAGGTGGATTCATAGCATTTGCACGTAAGTGACTATAACAAACAGAACGGGAATTAAAACTGGACTGTCCCATCAACAATTCCGAGCCATTATCTATTACAACACCCCCACCCATCTCCACAGCATCTGGTATTCTCAAACGGTCACCCATCTAGTTACTTATCAGACTCGACGTTGCTTAACTTCAGTGATCGTAGGAGAACCGGTTTATCAACAAGATTTGACCATAAGCCGTGTACTATTGGTGTAGTAACTTCCACCATTATTTCTCTCTAAATATATACGAACCTATTAAAAAAAAACCTTTTTTATGTTCCCATGTGATATTAGCAGATAATGGTTAGACATAACAAAAATTAATTCCTTTAGATAATATGTGGAAATAACCATTATTCACCTGATGATGGGCAGAAGACCTGGAACCCGTGTAGCAAAAATATGGAAAATGACAGTGTATAAAATAAATCCACATTATAAGGAAAAACGTTTGCGGCTTCCCTTTCTCTCGTTGGAACAACTATAATATCTCTCTCTCACACACACACACATTTTATATATATATATATATATATATATATATATATATATATATATATATATGTGTGTGTGTGTGTGTTATGAGACAACATTGGAATATATTTATTTGTGAGCAAATTGATCGTATTTCATATTTCTATCGGCATGTATAAACGGATATAATTCCATTGCGTTTCTGGGACCTAACGCATATTCTAAAAATCATATTGTTAAAATCTTTATAGCATCAATCATATACGCATTTTGGAATGGAAGGAGATTTATTGCAAAAAAAAAAAAAAAAAAAAAAAAAAAGGTTAAAAAAAAAAGGTTAAAAAAAAAAAAAAATTATTGTTATCTATCTCTAACGCACACGTAACGGACACACCTAGATTACACGTGACTAATGCCTCAATAGAGGAAAATTAAGACAAGTAATTCTAATATTACCTTGAGATAATGTACGTATATAATTTACATGAATTCCATTCCAGTTTCTGGAAACGATTTAAGATTCTTAAAGCTGTAGGTCATACCACAATTCAGTATTTTTAAAAGAGGCTGTGTCATTTCTCTTGTAAGTATTTGGGAGTGATTATCGGTTGAAAAATACAGAGAGCAGTATTAACCCCCCCCCCGGAAACACTAAAAAGAAAAAAAAACAGCGAATTCTTTTAACTTACACGTGTTCTGTTAGTTCATAACAATTACATTTAATATAAGAACACTGAAAATTCTGACGCAAGAGGAAATAGTGAAATAACGATCAATGAGATTTTCGCAACGATTTCCTTTAGTTTTTTTTTTCTTATTGCGTCTCTTCCCTTAATGAATCGCTTAGCAGCTCAGATTTGTCCTGGGTATGATGATAAACTATAACTGGCAGCAAGGCCTCTGATCGGGAGATTCGAGGTTTTGAGGAGCTATAGACAAATAGTGTACCTCTAAACAAATATCAGTACATTTTGATTGTAAAATTACCAACAATACTTTTTATGAACAACAAAATATATATCTAAAATACATACCTTTACTCTGAAACTATAAAATTAAGTACAAAATATTCAGATTTCGTCATTAAACAACCCATAGAAGTTGGTATGCTGCTAAACAAATTAAACCAAAAAAAAACAAAAAACATTCGGATTTTATCAAGTTTAGCGCTGACTGGTTAAATATATTGAATATAAAAAATAACTTCGAGTAAGCATTGGATTTTGCATTGTTTTAAACTATGAACTTGTTTTGTAATCTTCATGTTGTGCTTTGAAAATAAGGGAAAAAGATTACCACTCGATATTGAAACCTGTGTCCATTTTTATATTTACGCATCCTCTATCCTGATAATGGACCACTTTATAAATATAGCAGGCTTTAAAACTATATTTTATACTAGCAGTAGAGCCCGGCGTTGCCCGGGGATGTAACAGTAAGAGATAGATCAAGTATCGACCATCATAAAGACTGAAAAATAAAATTGACAAAGATTATTGTTTAAGGTTGACGGACACCCATGTCTTAATTAGTTTTTGTTTTTTTTTACGAATTGGTCAAACCCAAACTCAAAAAAAAAACATTGTTTTCAATCGTTATGAGTCTACCGATTGAATAGAATTTTATTAGAAACAATTGCCTTGTAAATGGAACTTTTAAAGCATTCTGAATGTAAGAAAGAAAAAAGTGTGCAAGACAATAAGAAACACTACCTGCCAAAAAAAGTGAAGTTTTGTTGAAATTGGTTGAAAAATGTAAGAAATCCGATCCCATATATAAAGGAACACACACAGGGTTTTATAATAAGTTTAACTCGATATGAGTTGTCCCCCTTTCATTCTCGCGATGCCTCTTAATCTTGTTTTCAAATTGATTTTGTGCAAAAACAATTGTGTTTTTCCAATTTTTGGCGCTGTCAGAACCACCGCAAGTAATTTTACGTAGTCCTGTGAAGTTTTGTTGAAATCGGTTGAAAAATGTAGGAAATCTGATCCAATATATAAACGAACAGACACACACACACACAACCTGGGTTTTATAATAAGTATGATTATAAAAAATTTAAAAAATCCCTAAATCTGTAAAAAGACACCATTAGTGATTAAATCTGGATAAGTAATCGGTCTTTCATGAGAGACAAACCATGTTTTTATTCTAGACCCAAACAGAACGGTAGGCGTATCAGATCAGCATTAGAATGTCTTTTTGTTCAGCACGTATCACAGATTTTCTTTTGCCAATGCAGCTTGGTTTCGATGTCCTTATTTTTTAATTAAAGTGCAGCCACATTTTATTCATGCACCTGTTTGATCTTTCCTCTATTGTGCTACCTGGTATTGTTCGACACATTTTATGATGACATGAATTCTGGTGGGTTTTACGAATTAACTTGACACCCAAGTAATATTGTCTACACTGACAAGTATATAAGATTTTTCCATCGCAACTTTTTGAAAATACTCTCTCTATTCCCAAGGCAATATACATTACTATAAAAATTATAAAACAAATATACGAAAAGGGTTAAATTCAAAACCTATTATTTAAAATATTCAATATATAAATTAACTTTAATATAACTAATAATTACATTATAAAAAAAATAGCTACCCACTTTTCTGCATTCAAGGTTAGATTACATCAGTTTGCATCCACCATAATTTCCTTTGACTTTCATTTAGCAAGATGTATATTTATGAGCGTCCTTAAATTTAAAAATTCTGAAAAACTAATATTTTTTACTTTTGTTTATAAATACTTGTAAATAAAACCCTTATAGTAATTTTCCAAGCATAGCTTAGATGTGGCACAGAGCCGAAAGTAGGGTGACACCCAGTGAGGATCGAACTCACTACTCGGTCGTAATTATTCTAGGCGAGACAAGCTTGCTAACCATTGCACCACCTCGAGGTGCCCAAATGATTTTCTAAGCGTAGCTTAGATGTGGCACAGGGCCGAAATTATGGGATCGAACTCACTATTCAGTCGTAACTGTTTTTTTAGCGAGACAAGCTTGTTAACCATTACACCACGCGGAGGTGCCCAAATGAAACCCTTATATTTGCGTCTATCAGAAGACGAAACGGTTTTCTTTTTGGCTTTATTCATCTATATAAATAATTTAAAAGGAGTAATGGGTAGCAGTTCGGATTGAGGAATCGGAGAGCCGAATTCGAATTCCAGTCGGATCCATTACATTCAATGTCTTAATACCCTTGGAAAAGATATGAATCCTCCTCTCCTTCCACCCCCAGCTATGAGTAAATAGAAGGATTGGGTTCTATAGACATGGGTAGCAACCGGTCTAGGAGAAGAAAACTGAATTCAAAACTGACCTGAAGCGGGTTGAGTTCCGTCGGTCTATCAAAGCCGAGTAACACCATTTCTACTGCGGCTGCAAGGCATATGGTGCCCCTTCGATCCTAATGGGTCACGCGTTACGCGATTGCGATAATTTAAACTAGTTGTATTATATCCAACCGACAATACGCACAGCGCTTGACCAGCCATGTGACTTAACGATCAATAACGAAGCCCCATCTCATTTAAAATAGAGGGAAAATATTTTCATAGACACCAGAGAGGAAAGATGCGTTCCAGACTGGTGAGCAGAGATAGTCCTTTGCAACATGAAATGCTACCGATTCACGGGTAGAGACATCCGTTTGCAATATCCACTAGCTTTCCATTTCAGAGTCGGAGAAAAGGCATCTAGCACTTTTTTTAATACTTGGGTATATTTATTTAGTAATTTGGCAACTCGAAAAGTTGTAAGATACTACTGGCATTTTTGGAACGTTAGCTTTCAAATTTAAATATACGAATATCGTATAAGTGACATCATGGGTCAAAAGGTTTCATAGAGATGAACAAAACAAGAAAGGAGGTAAATATTTTATACATACTGTAAATATTTTATAAACCCGCACGTCTGAAAATGCAATTCCCTGCTGTTAAAGATAGCTTAAATTTGAAATATAACGTTAAAAAAAATAAAATAAAAGATATAGACTAATAAGTCTTTCTACGAAACTGACAACATTTAGCACCTAATAATGACAGATACGGTCGAAAATACCCGAACGAAACCAAAAACATTGATAGTTCATCCACAATTTTGAATCCGATGTTCATCTTAATCGAAAAGTGGAAAAATACAATAAAAATTTATGCACACATTTTCGGTTGAATTGAATACATTATATATATATATATATATATATATATATATATATATATATATATAGAGAGAGAGAGAGTGTGTGTGTGTGTGTGTGTTTGTCTCAAAAAAAAAATTTCTGCTTTTGCAATTAAATTAATCGTTCACTCACCAGTAGTTCAACATCGCCCGAGTAGACACATTTGTAGTGTTGAAACATGACTGTAATTGTGTAGCGATTTTTAACATGTTTTTATTTTGCAACAAATATTTTAAAAGAAAGTGAAAATGTTAGCTTGTTAAAATTTAAGAGACGCTCATAAATATTTATCAGGTTAACGGAAAAGTAGAGATAAATTATGGCCGATGTTATGTGACGTAAATAAAATCTAATAAACGAAAGTGAGTAAATGATGTTGACATTTTTTTTATGCAATTAATATCTAAATTATTCTAGTATAGGATAAATTCATGTATTATATATATTTTAACTAACAGGAGGTTATAAATTTAACAATTTTGGCATAGAAGTAATTTTTACAGGGATGGAGATGCCTG